ATAATGAATGCATAGTTTTAGTTTAAGTATTTTTAGTATAAGACTAAATAATATACACAGTAGAGAGATTTCGCTCATACGTGAAAGTACAACTTATAACGTATGCTTATAAGTAAACGTACAACGTGTTTCATTATGTGGGCTTTTCGTCAGGAAAGATCTTCTCGGACTGTAATAAATAAAGGTCAAAGGGATGCCATTTGTACTTTCTTGAATTGTAGTATGTTTAGTTGATCCAAATGTGTTTGTCTGAAATAAAATAGGATCATACCTGGTATATAGTACATATGTTATAGACCCATATAATAGTTCGACATGAAGTATACGTATACGTATAAGTTGTAAGGGAACATGGGGCAAAACGGCCCTAAAAATGAATTTTAAGTTGTTTACATTTTTGAGTGTTTTATACTTGCCTAGGACTATCTTCTGTGATTTTTCAATGGTCAAAAATATTGTCGAGAGTGGGGCAAAACGTCCCATGGGTGGGGCAAAACGGCCCACCCTCTGTTACATGGGTATTAAAACCAAAATTAATCAATTACAAGACTCGTCCATACACTTCTTATCTCAGACGTTCAAATCTTTGACATATAAAGTATTCTTAACCGCTACCATAATTCTAGTCATTCGATATGTGTCGGAGTGAAATAAGGTACAAGCCAAATATTAAAATCGTTATATTTGAAAACCAATTCTTCTTGCAAATAGACGTCATTTTAATTTGCCTAATATTTGAAGCTCGAAATTTTTATAAATAAAGAATTAATGTGCAAACTCTATGTAAAATGTTAAATCAAAACGATATTCTATTGTTGCCGGATTTTTTAGAGATTCTCGTGGGAGAGGTAATTTACAAAAAGAGGGTGAAAAATAGAAATACCTCTTACGTAAAGCGAGACGCTGCTTGGTTAAAAATGGGCGGTCGAGAAGGTGGCAGACATTTCAAAATTCGATTATTGACTTTTGAAGAACCATCTTTTTATAGTTCAAAAGATATTTCGATGTGCCACTTTGCCCCAGATGGCCGTTTTACCCCATGTTACCCTACTTTCACTTATGTGCGAAATCTCTCTAATAAATCATGACGTAATCAAACACTTCATAAATAACGTTATACGGGAATAATAAATCTGTTATAAGTGAGTTGTGAAATCTTTTCAATTCCCCAAATTATTATTGCACAATTTATTGAAACGAAACTGTCAACCTCTGAAATGTTCGCAACACTACTCTCGGACTTTTTGAGGTCATGGTGACCATGCCAGTTTTGACGTGCCAATCGAGGGAGTAAATCCTGGCGCAAAATCTAAAAGTTGCTGTCGCGAAGACTGAATCGAAGTAGAAATATACATAAGTTTTACATTCACACGCATTTTGATAACAAAAACTTTTTTAATCGATTGACTTCACATGAAAATAATTCCAGTGGAAATAGCACTGCAAAATTATTCATTATAAATACAAGAAATTGATTGAAATACATGTGATGATTACAGAGGCGGATCTGGAAACCAACAGGGGGACATTTTCAACTGATAAAAAACGTAAGCGGAAAAAACGTGAGCTTACATTGTGAATATCTGATAAAGCCTTAAAGGCCCGGTCACACCGCCTAAACGTTGCTGGAGCGTTCCTTGAACGTTGAAAAAAATCATCAACGCTCGTACACGTTCACCACCGTTTAACAAAAGTTGGCATCCGTTAAAGCAACGCTGTAAACGCTCGGCCAACGCGGATGTTTCTCGAGTGGCCATCCTAACGCTCCAAAAGTTTTGAGCTGCTCAAAATATTGCGAGCGTTGAAAAAGGGACAATTTTACGCCCTGGCAAAGTTTATCACCGCTCCACCAACGCCCAGTCAAAGTTTGGCACCGCTAGACGCAAGTTCGTGGACGCTTGAATCCGCTAGACCAACGCAGAAATCTTAAACGCTGGACCACCGCTGCTTCGCCAGCGTTGCCCGGGCGGCGATTAAACGTTGCACAAACGTCGGTGGAGCGGTTGTTAGCGTTTTATCAGCGTTCATGGGGTTGTTGGAACGGTGTCGGACGTTGTCGCAGCGTTCCATGGCGGCGATGAACTTTGCTTTGGCGTTGGTATAGAGGTGTCGGAGCGGGACCAGGATTTGGCTATAAATACGTGAAGAAATGCACCACTGTGTAGAACACTGTGGAGACACTTGTGCATTTTACATTTGATATATATTCATGTCTGGCATTTCAATTTTTTGCATTGTAAATTCCTAAATTAAGCGCTCAAAGTTTGTGATTTTGGATTTTAAAAAGGTGAATTATGCGATTTTTGTTTTTTTCATTAAATGTTAATACAAAAAGACTTTTACTGAGACCTTTATTCAAATATAGTATATACCTAGTGTTTTCACGTCAAGCAATTCAATAAATTATCTGTGAATTTTCTGCGCAGCTTGTAAAATGTTGCACTCGTCATGGTATTATACAAAAAGTTGATGCGCGCACAGCAATGCAAAAATTTGTCATGCGTCATGATTATTACTTTGCTGTAAATGTTATTTGACATTGTTAAAGCAATTTGAAAGTAAATCGGTTCCAAGTAATGGAAATGCAACGATTAAATTGTGATATGTTTGTTTGAAATGATATGAGAGATTATTAAAGAAAATTGTAATGTTATTCATTCTTAATGTCATATTACATTAATAGAAGCACTTTAGATTTAAAATTTTCTTCTTTAATCCTTGAAGGACTTTTGTTAAAGTTACAAATTCCAATAAAGGTCTTTACTCTTAAACACTTCCCACTTGAAATAATTTCCCAGTAGTCAAACGCGATATGCTGCTAAACCAACGCTGCTGCTATTTATACCCCCGCCGAGGCAACGCTCTCATGCGCAGAACGCCGCTATACCAACGCTCGCATTACCGCTAAACAAACGCTAGCTACCGCTCGCAACCGCTTAACCAACGCTAAAGCAACGCCGGCTTCAGCGGTGCACCGCTAAGCCAACGCCCGTGTTTTTGTGTTTTTCCCCATTTTGTGTGCGTTGACGAGCGTTGATGAATTTTTTCAACGTTCAAGGAACGCTCCAGCAACGTCCCCGCGGTGTGACCGGGCCTTAAAGGCCCACTTATTGCGGCCTTAAATACTAAAGGCCCGGTCACACCGCCTAAACGTTGCTGGAGCGTTCCTTGAACGTTGAAAAAAATCATCAACGCTCGTAGACGTTCACCACCGTTTAACAAAAGTTGGCATCCGTTAAAGCAACGCGTCATGATTATTACTTTGCTGTAAATGTTATTTGACATTGTTAAAGCAATTTGAACGTAAATCGGTTCCAAGTAATGGAAATGCAACGATTAAATTGTGATATGTTTGTTTGAAATGATATGAGAGATTATTAAAGAAAATTGTAATGTTATTCATTCTTAATGTCATATTACATTAATAGAAGCACTTTACATTTAAAACATTTCTTCTTTAATCCTTGAAGGACTTTTGTTAAAGTTACAAATTCCAATAAAGGTCTTTACTCTTAAACACTTCCCACTTGAAATAATTTCCCCGTAGTCAAACGCGATATGCTGCTAAACCAACGCTGCTGCTATTTATACCCCCGCCGAGGCAACGCTCTCATGCGCAGAACGCCGCTATACCAACGCTCGCATTACCGCTAAACAAACGCTAGCTACCGCTCGCAACCGCTTAACCAACACTAAAGCAACGCCGGCTTCAGCGATGCACCGCTAAGCCAACGCCCGTGTTTTTGTTTTTTTCCCCATTTTGTGCGCGTTGACGAGCGTTGATGATTTTTTTCAACGTTCAAGGAACGCTCCAGCAACGTCTGGGCGGTGTGACCGGGCCTTTAGCTTGACGTTTTCAACGCGCAAAATGCCATGCTTAGTCCAAAATAAGAAAACGGAAAATGTTTGAAAGAGTGGTATTTCGTATAATTCTGTTTCATGTTGACTTACTGAGGATGTCATATAATATACAGGAATAGACATATAGATTGATAATCGTATATCTAAAGCGTGACATATATCATCATACACAATGCTTGTCATTCGTGTGTAACTATACTTTTTGATCCATTCATGACAGAACTCAACTATATTAATTTTCCACGCCAAAATCTTATCATAAATTCTTTTCATAGGCAATTCATATCAGGTATCAATGAAATGTTGAAATACATTTAATTCATACATTTAATTAACATTCACTTGGCACCTTTTGAGATGGATCCCGGCTATGGTATTAATGGTTGAGAAATAGGGATCCTGATGACCATTGTGAATTGTTGTGTTTTATGGATTATGATGACGACTTGTCGAACGGATGTTGACCCTTTGAATTGCCTATGGACTTGGAGACAGGATTTTATCTATCCCGCATCATTTGAGACTAAATACTCTATCTTTTATGAGTACTAGTATTTACAACTATATTTGATGTTATGAGTATTGGCTATCAATTTTTTCATTTTTTCTTCAACATGTATTGTAATGACTTCAGTACGAATGAAATGTCCCTTGGTGTTCTGATGTTCTTGTTGGGTTTCTTAAAAGTTTTTAGTCACCCTTCCCTTTTGGCATTTGTGCTTATATATTTACATATATATATCAATGTCAACTTATCACATTCATCAATGCCATGGCAAACATACTATTGCAAAGAACTGATGCATTGTATTTTGATTGGCACACCCTGTGTTTGAACTTATCCGTCCGTAAAATTGAAAACCTCAGTTTATCTATCTAAGCCAATTTGGACGTTAATATAAAAAGTACATTGTTCGTCCTTCTGAAACCGTTTTGTCAGCTATGATAGTTTTTGTGTTTGTCACCCTATTTCCATCACATTTTGTTTGTATGGCAAGTAGAAAAAGAATCACTTGTATTCTTTTACTAAATGTATTCATACGGAGTTAACATTGACAGGTCCCATAAACCATGTTTTTAGCACACAAATCAATTTTGATGTGTTAATTTTTTTCAATTTGTCACCAGAGACAGTTATTCTTTCAAATGGTTTCAAAGGGCCTGTGTTATGAAAAACCAGTATCATTTCTTCGAGATGAGACAACAAGGCAAGTATCTAGTAGCAGCCTTGGTCTGCATCGCGCTTGCGGGTAAGTACATTTTTTCATCATCTGAAATTACAATGGTATTTTATTTTAAGAAAAGCGCTAATCTTGTAAAATTATTTCCCTCCATTTTCCGAAACGATGGACTTTTTGGTTGGTCGTGAACTTTTGAGCATGATTAAAAAACTATAAGTCATTGATCATGAACTTACACTTTGTGCCGTTACTTTACTTTCGTTTAAAGTTGCCTATTCGCAAGGCAGGAATGCATTTACAGATTTTTAACTTTTATACAATTCATTCTATACCACAGTCAGAAATAAATATTTTGGAATAAATAATATTTGAAATAGTAAAAGACACATGGATTATGAATTGAAATTCGTTTAATCACTTTGATTTGCCGTTATTGAAACGACTAAATAGTACACCAGCCAAGCTGGCATTTGACTAAAACATCTAGATTCACTTCTAATTGACTTCATATCCAAGATATGCGAGAGTTGATCAGCTTGCAAACATATTTATTTATCTAACCTATCTATTTGTCGAAAGAATTAAGAAAATTGATTGATTGATTGAATTTAGATATAAACTCATAAGCGCAAAAAATGATTTCCAGAGAAAAATGCATTTAAAAAATGTTAGTTCTCATTTCAAATTAAAACATAATAAAACGTATTCTTGACCTAGATTATTTTGAAAAATTAAGCATTTATAGAAAATATTTGTTCAAGAAAAAATTGACAATTTTTGATATTTTGCTTCGTGAGTGGCATCAGATCTAGAGCGGATTCTCGTGACATCACAAATTAAAAATCTGCTTTAAAAGTTAAAAAATGCAAAAACAGATATTGAATGTTTGAAATAATATGACTTTTGCAATAGAGTAGATAAAATAGTGTGTTTCAAAAAATGTCTCTTAAAATGTTTTTTCAAGTCATGTGTACCTCCGTGTTCTATGTTTGCAAAAACTACCTGTTTAAAGAAATATTAGTAAAAAGTCAACTCGTATTGATCAGAAATGGTCGCATATTTTCAAGTTATCGAAAATGTTCGATGACAATCTAATTTTGTATTTGTTTCAGGCTATGTCCATGCCCAGAGTTCAGGCACTTATGGGCCATGTAGACAACTGTGCAAAGGGTTAAGTCTGAATTGTGGAAAGACCTGCAAAGTAGACGATGTAAGGGGCACTATATTCACTATGTCATCAAAAATATAAATACACGTATGGACAGAAACTTTGAAAATGAATGTTTCAACACGTTCTTTTAAAGAAAATAGTCTCATTTTTCATTCATTATTCTTTGAATAACATATTATATATCACTTAATATTAATGCTATTAACCAGCATTTCTTATATTCATTCATTAATTTCTCATCTTCTACTAGTATTTATTGTTTTCTATTTAACAGCTAGCTGCTATAGACGAGGCGTGTTTTCGAACCAACACAAATGGAATTGAGGACCTACCAGAGGAACAGAAAGTACCAAAACTGAGCAAGATCTTAGATTTGTGTAACAAGCCAGGTGCAGTCCAAGCGGAGAAAACACCTAAAAAATGGAGAATAAAGGGTCGGGGTAAGAAGAATTATTATTTTTAACTCTGTTGTTCATTTGTAAAACAGGTTAATGCCAGGTAAATGGATTTATTTTTCGAAGACTTCGCAATGATTAGCTGAAAAATATTAAATTATTTTCTAGTTTCGCATGGTGTAAGTTTTTAGTTCTCACTAGTAGTAAATATACAGACGTTGCTCAAGATAATCAGAGCAAAATATTGAATGTTACTGTTAAGTGAGCTTTTAAGATGCCTTTGGTTCTGCAATCAAATATTAAAATTGAATGAATATATTGTTTTCATATAATTATTTACCCCAACGACACCACAATAAAAAGCTACGGGAAATTAGACCTGGTGTCATTTCGTAGCTTGGTTCACTGTATAAAAATGTATCTTCTGGCCAAGCAAAACGCCATCTAGTGTTAGTGGTCAATGAATCCCGATAGGATAAGTGCTAATATATCAGGAAACACTTCAAGTTCGGTTAGAAACAGAAATTCTACAGACGACGGAGTGATTTTTGAGACTATAGAGTAGAATAATTTTCTCAAACAGCTCGTCTTTCGGTACCTCTCTCGAGGTTCATTTAGCTCGAAACCCATTTTGTCAAGGTGTAATTATATTGTAACAGCAAACTAGAAAAAACTAGAGCTGTACCCGTTGACAAGTTATGGAGTGAAATGTTGTAATGGTTATCTCTGGTATTTTTAACGCTTAACCTGAACCGAGCTATATGAGTATACACATATTGCAGCTTTGAAATCTCGCTAATATATCTTTTTCGTGAATTTTTAAGACACTAATGCACATTAAACCTCTTATGACCTACTTTTCCTACTATTCTTTTTAATAGCATACCTTTTTTATTTATGTGAAAGGTTTTCCACAATTATAACTTTAATTTCAATTATACAGGGTGTTCCAAAAGTAACAGGACTGGTGCTGGCATTTTGTCAATTTTGCACTGAGTATCTTCAAATTTTCACAAATTGTACTTTGAAATATTGCAACTAAAGTTGTAAAGTTTCAGAAAAAATGATGAAATGCGATTAGAGTTATGGTTACTATAGTAACATGACATTCCAATACCCGGGGCAACTTTTTTCCTGAAAATGTGATACATTTTTGTATTACTGAAGAAAGTATCTAATTCACCTATTATAATACATTTCTTGCTTATTTTATTAGTTCCTTTGTTGTAAAGGTGTTGCTATATACAATTCAAATTCAAGTATTGTTAAATTTCATATTGATAATAATATTTGTTCAATTTCCTGGAATATCACTATGTATAACAGTCTGAACAATTCACTGTTGAGTTTTTGAAAAGACCCAATTTGAAGCCAGTCGTCTACCTTGATAGCGCACTGCCTGCAGGTCACCATTAAAGACCATGCAGCCATAGAGAAGTTAGGTCTTGAGGTCTAAAACCATGCACCATAGTCCTCTGATGATGCAAAATCTAATTTTTACTTATATTGAGAACGGAATGCTAATCAGTGCTTTAAGACCTTTAAAGATGAGAATAATCTTCTCCAAATTGTCCAATCGACCCTGCGTGACATGTCCTCAAATGGGTTCACTCATTTGGGTCATGGATACAGAGTACTACTCTTGTACTGACCAAAGAGGAGCCTATTTTTCAAAGTAGAGGATACATAGGAATATCAAATGATGTAAAACAAATGTAATTCCCACTAGTTGTTCCGTTTCAACTTTGATATGGCATGTACAAAAATGATATGGCATGTACAAAATGCTTAATGTCTCTGTAACTTTTGGCGTGGAATGTTGCCCCGGGTATTGTGATGTCATGTTACTATAGCAACCATAACTCTACCTGAGTTTCATATATTTTGTCGAAACTTTGCAGTCTTAGTAACGATACATGGAAGTACATTCTGTAAAATTTTGAAGATGATTGGTGCATATTTATCAAAATGCCAGCACCAGTCCTGTTACTTTTGAAACACCCTGTATTCTTAAAATATCATTTCCATGACTTTTCAACTTCTCTGAAAAAATGTGAGCCAAATCTCCATTAATGCAATGTTCAAAACCTTGGTTTATTCGTTTAAACAACATTAAGGGACCTCCCATAGTATGCCATTTTAGTTTTAGACAGATCAACCAACATTTTTTGATAAATCATGAAATTAAGTGACCATTGTAAGTTTTCACCATTGATGCCTTTTTGGCAGTCTGGCCCAACTAAAACAAGGTAAAACATGTGACATATTTTATTCGGCTTTGATCAGATATGTATATAGCAATGCCCTTATAGAAAAATACAAAATGTACTTCTACATGCGATTGTGTAATATGATTGATTTAATATTTAAGGAAATTATTTGTGAATCGTTGCTTTATCAATGCACTATTATATGAATTTTTCTCTTTTTATAAATAAAATAATTCTGAATTTCAGGAGGGAAGAAACTGGTATATGGCCCCTGCAGGATCAGATGTACTCAATTGAACTTGAGAAAGTGTTCAGCCATTTGCAAGTTGAATCCTGTAAGTACTGTACCAGGTATAAGAGATTAAAATCATCAAGATAATAGTCATTATATTATTAATAAGCATTCGCATGCCAGAGACTCAATTAATTTTTCAATATACAGGGTTTTTCATAATGGCTGTCCCCCATCAACCACCAATCCTAAATAGCAGGCCCATATATGTTATACATGAAATGAAAGCTTGTTCAATTCTGGACTTATTGAAATAACTTTGAGAAAGCTCTACAGTTTTTCCAACTTGCTACATATTTCTACAAAAGGTACCCAATTTAATCTTAGCATAAAATCTGAAAGCCACATTTTTCCAAAACTTGCCATGTGTCCTGCAACAAGCTATGATAATGATGCCTTAATACTCTAAGATCTATAGTAATGTACTACAACTTTTAACATTTGATGGATGCTGAGGATATATCTTAATGATATTTGAAAGACAAAAGTATTAAATATCTAAAAGAAATAACCAGAGAGCACTAGATGATACAATGGATTAAATAAAATTCTACTCCTTTCTTTAAATCCAACGGGAATAGTAGAAATAAACATGCAGATTGAGGGGATAAGTGACTACCAGACACAAGTTCACAAATTATGTTCCCAACGATCAGGCATGCTAAGATTTGGCACGTAAGTCCAGAATTGAAAAAGCTTCATTACGGTATATAGATTATGGGGGCATGTGATCTAGCATTGTCTGTGGGTGGGGGGACGGTCATTATGAAACACCCTGTACATTTTCTCCATTTTCATCGAAAAACTAGATTTTCTCAAACTCAGTTGTAAGCTGCACACTATTTTATATGAATCCATTTATTTGTATATAGGGGGATACAATTGACGTACCTTGCTTTAAACAATGTGCAGCAGCTGTCCAAGTTAGAAACGGCCAAAGGGGCCTCCCTAATTGTCTCCGACAATGTAAAACTAGAGGCATACGCCCAGTCAGATGCGGAACCGCCACAAACCCATGTAAACATTTTACACAACTTTCTATCACATGGAGGTAGCCAAGTATATTAAGGCAGTCAAGGCAAAGGTTTACAGAATAATATCAACACAATGTAGACATTTTTTAGAAAGCATGCAAAGGGAAGCATTGAACTCGCCTATTTTTAAATCTTTACTACGCCCCTGTATTATTACTTTTTCAACATGGTATATTGCGTTTTCCTATTTGTTACTGGAGAGGTTAAGCTACCGTATAAAATCCACTACGCAACTTAAACGTATCAATGGCCCCTATACAAATACATGTAGAGTTCACACATAAATAGCCGTTCAGCTCTAGTGTTTGTTTAGACTACACCATAGCTTGTAATGATTACATAGTATGCCATTGATGAAGTTCAATAGCTGGTTTTCTAATACATATTTTAAAGATATGCTATACAGATATGTAGGTCAGTATTACATAATCGTGAAATGAATAAGTCTGAATATATCATTGGTCAGAAAACACTAAAACCTGCTTGAAACTGTAAAAGTTTATACACTCTATTCCACACTGTATAGAAATAAAATAACTTACACTATAAGTAACTGTGAGCCAATCATTGCATAGAAAAAACGTTATGCACTGTTTATAAGATTCACTGAGACAAGTGGGTCAATACTTCGTGTACTTTATGTGCTCTCACACAATTACCTTCCCTTGCATAAAGTTGCTCTACAGTTATATGTAACTGAATATTGTATATTCATCACAAACAACCTTAGCAAAATGATGGTTCGACGAAACGGACGGTTCGCTAAAACCAATAAACCAGGCAATTCAGGCCAATTTGGAAAGAAACTAGATAGCGTGATAGCGAATGAGGATAGTAAGTGAAACATATTTTGCAAAGGTCAGCTTGTAAACTACTGGGTAGCCCTAAATGATGAGAAATATGTACAAAATATGTTTTGCATGATTTATTCATATCCCAATGATTTAACTCCTTCACTGCATCTAATAAGGTATATAGATACTAATTACGGGACATTTAGGAATTAAGTGACTAGACCAAAGCAAGCATGTTTGAGATTTTAATGATTTTAAATAAATTACCACTTCACTATTGCTTTTAGACATTCAATCAGTTTTATTTGTCCAACAAACCATATTCACAATTGTTCAATCCAACGAAGATTAGGGGATAAGCTAAGAGACCCCTCCATTTGTCCGTCCATCCATCCTTCAACTAGACAACAGCAACACCAAAGTGTAGCAAATCCCATCGAACAGCCATGACTGGCATTTTTTTACAAACAAAGTATACAGCAAAAATGGCAGCCATTTTTCAAAATGGCCACCTTCTACCAAAAGTGTCATTAGACAGTGTGCCACGCTTATAGTATTCACGCATCAAATATGAACAAAATCGCTCTACTACTTTTCGAGTATAGTAAAATACGTTAAAATGACGGCCATTTTTCAAAATGGCTGCCTTCTACCAAAAGTGTCATTAGACAGTGTGCCATGCTTATAGTATTCATATACCAAATATGAACAAAATCGCTCGACTACTTTTCGAGTTACAGCAAAAATCGTAAAATAACGAGTAAAGGCCGCCATAGTTCAATTCTTTGAAGCAAATGATTCTAAAAGTACAACATATCTTTGAAAAAATATCATTCTGTTAAGTGAAATTGTAAAAAATATTTTGCAATGTGTGAAATTGAATTAAAGCACATGATTCAATGAATAGTGGATGCTTCAATTCACTTATGTCTTCTAGTATAGGCTTTGAATTTGGACTACCACCCTCGTTCATAGTCTAGAATCAGGACATATGTTAAATTTAATCATCTACAATGCATTGAGTCATTGGCTTAAATCTTATAATATAATATGCCTATCAATATAATATGTAATTATTTAAGTATCATCTCAATGCTTTAATTTTAATAGAATTATTTTAATATTTTACTAACTGTATAATATGTAGTTTGCATTACTGTTGATAAATAAATAAATGATTGCACTGTTCAGTAAAGAAATATAGCAATTGTATTATTTAAACTGACTATACACTATAGAAATGATTTTCATTGAAAAATCAAATCAGTACCAAAATTATGGTTACCCTGTAGTAGTGAAAGGCACATTAGAAATGAATATCACCCCCTTCAATCTATTTTTACAGGTTTTTATGATTATTTCAGATTTTTCTATAGTTTGCGTAACCAGGACGGTGAATTTTCTTCATTTTTCATCAAACATTTCATCTTACCAATATTTATTATATCTGTCAATTTTATCAAAATCGCGCCGCTACGTTTGAAAATAATTCAAATTATGTAGTTTTTCCCATTGAGCTCCATTATAAAAATGGAATTTTCAAACTTAATATTTTAAAATTCTACGTGGTGAAAAGTTGCATATTGAGTAGTTAGTTAATGTTATGGTGTTAAAAATTCAAAACAAAAAGGAATAAAGAAAAAATGCCACAGAGCAGTCTCAATAGAGTATCTTTAAACGAGCTCGTTTCGTAAGATTATTGGAGTTAAATCATGCGTAACATACATCATCTTCTTCAGAAAGAATTATACTCTGCATCGAAATCAAAATTGCAAGGATAGTATTCAACAGACATGAGTATAATGATTCCCGTTGATAGCAACGTGAAATATGTAAATCTCCCGTTCTAAACACGCAACTTTGAAGTTGAACGGGTATCTGAAGTAGACTAAAGCGGTACAATCCTATGTTGATTCAATGTACTTTTCGTTTACGTATACGTTTTGAAAAACCGTATTTGCTTAACCTCTCTACTGTTACACTATTCTACTTAATCATTATGACGCAATGCACGCCATGTACCTCTTGAGAAACGCTTTAAATATCGATTTAAATTGATTATCCATCTAAATCCCTTAATGTTTGTTTGTTTGTTTGTTTGTTTATCTTTATTTCCTTCTCAAAGAAGAGCTTTTTAAAAATAATTAAACAAGCAGTTATTTAAAAACAATTATTTACAAAACAAATATATTTACATTAGTAATTTGACTATCTAGTTTTACCGCATGCATACTTTGCCACCAAGATGATTATTTGTTCACATACATTTTCATTTAACTGAATGTCAGTATTTGAACCTAGGAGAGTTTCAACTAAAACTTCTTCATCGCCATTTAATAATTGATAAGATGAGCTCACGTCTAATGCATTCGTTATATTATCAAAAAGACGATCTCTTTCAATCATAAGTCCTGAACATTCCAAAAGGATATGTTTTGTGACATCTCTGTATTCACCCTGGCATAATATACATTTAACAGTGACTGGGTGATCTTCAATTAGTGCAAGTTGAAGAAGAGTTGCCAAAGGCCACAATAAAGCTGGGTATTGTTTTCCTAGCACATAATGTATACTCGGTTCTAATTGTGTGTGGATATTTGCAAATCTTTTGAGCCGAACATCTTCGTGAACCTGACTTTGATACAACTGATTTGCCGACTCTTGGATGTTACATTTAATTCTAAATTTCCACATATCTTTGGGTACTTTTTGACCATGACTGATGAACCTTTCAAAGTCTTCCAATAAATACGGGTATTTACTCAAAATGTTTTGAATTTCTGGAATGAAACCATCAGATTTCCTTGAACATGACATCCTCACAATATATAAGGGTTATGTACTGGGAGGTTTTGGATATGGGGTTTATCCAGAGGGAGTTATGCATATCTACCCGAGGGACCGTAGGGACCGAAGGTAGATGTGCATATCTCACGAGGGATGAACCCAATATCCAAACCGACCGTACATAACTGCTTTATCCTATACCAAGTAGAGTTTTCTAATTTTCTTTCGATTTTTTTCAATTTTTTCACATTTTTCTAATTTTTTCAATTTTTTCAATTTTTCTATTTTTTCAAATTTTTATTTTTTTAATTTTTTTATATTTTTTCTTTTTTTCAATTTTTTCAAATTTTTAAAAAAAATTGTTTTCGAAGAGGGAAGATATGCCCTGGAGCGGGAGATATGGCGGGAGATATGGAGGTTCGGGATATGGAAACCTCAAAATCAGGATACGGGATATATCTTACCAACTTATCTCCCTAAAACTCTACTTGGCATAGGATAAAACTGCTAATTCTTGATATAAATATATGTCTCTGCACAGATTTTTCAGATGAATTAATCAGTCTGTTTAAAAATAAGACCTTTGTTTTTTCAATATATTGTTCCATTGTTAGTAGGCCAAGCGCCCCGATAGCTGTAACTGATGGTGTTTTCCATGGAAGGCCCTGGGCACGCTTGGCAAAATATCTCTGGACTCTCTCAATTTCTAGCTTTTGAGATTTGATGATATTACCCCAAAGCTCACACCCATAGAATGCTGAAGGAAGTATAACTTTATTCCATATGTTGACAGAACAAATAGGATTCAAACCATCATGTCGTATACCAATTCCACACAATGAGTTGAAGATTTGTTTTGTCTTAACACAAGATATATGGACAGCATCATTTGGCGTAAGCTTTGTGTTCAACGTATTTCCAACATAAGTCACTTGATTGACAACAGGTATTGCTTCTTGACCTAATCTAAATGTGTTTTGTAGCATTTCGGGCACATTGTTTGTACTATTAAAAACAATAACTGAGCTTTTGTTCCTAGTCCCAGCATGATACACAAGACGCCACTTTTGGCTAAAATCAAAGACAACATTAAGTAGGCTTTGTAAGCCATCTAAAGTGCGTGACAAAATGGTAGTATCATCGGCAATATATATATATATATAATATGGCTTCTACAAACGAGTTTATTGAAATCGTCTTCCTCAAGATAAAACAATCCGATGAAAGCTCTGATCTGAAGTAGACTAAGTAGCGCTTGTTTTGTATGCGCGCTATACTCATTACTGTATTGATTCATGACTTTGCTTTACGGTTATGTTTACTAATATGATACACCCAATATGGCTGACTTGGTAACATTTAACCAGTCAGATTGTATTAAGTTAAATATGGCGAGAAAATATATTTTAATTTCATCTCCAGGCTGTAGATGGGGAATTTGGAGCCAGTGGGTAAAAGAACCATGTACCAGAACCTGCGGAGGTGGAACCATTCGACAAACTAGAAGACGAGTGAAATTGTTTGGGTCAATAGGCGAGCCACAATGTCAAGGGAAAGCTTTTGAAGTATTTTCTGGTGTATGCAACACACAACGCTGTATAGGTAGAGCTGCTTCGACATGTAGTTCAGTCTATGCATTTTTAATATGCATTTCAATGACATAAGTATGAGTGAAAAGACATATTAGAGAGATTTCGCGCATAAGTGAAAGTACAACTTATACGTATATGTATACTTTAAAGGGTCATGTTGAACTATTATATTTACTAAAATCAATTTCAAATTGTACTTAATGGAACATAACTATTCCTGATATAGAAAAGCTCCATCAACTAGAGACTGTGAATGCACTGTCATTTGCACGTGTAGATTATGCACATTATAATTAAATGCTTGCTTCCGTGTTCTAGTAGTTGTAGCGTATTATAAACACGATCCTTCAAAGTGAGTCATGATCCTTTAAAGTGAGTCATTACATAAACAAGTTGATTATTTCAAAGTTTTAATGCTCAGTATAAGTTCAATGAACTTACAAAACGGTATAAATACGAAGTTGATAAACGTATACAGTTCACACTACTATACCTTGCATTAGGTGTTCATGAGCAACCCATTTGGCTTATTAGTAATGATTATGTATTTGTTTTTATTTGTCTGTTCCTTATGAATGGTTTATCGGTTGAAAATTAGATGCTAGTAAGGCACTTTCAAAAATATATTAAACAATTCAATTAGACAAACAAAGTATCTTATGCATTTCTAGGTGTTAGGTATAGTAGTGTGAGTTGCATCTCCGTATAAAACTTTACCTACATGTGCGTGGAACAATTGACCGCAAACATTTTTTAAAATTAATTGGCTGAGTAGGAACAGTATCCAATCAAATACTTTAACCATCGATTTGAAACACCAATCAAACCAGTAGGTTCTAGCAATTCCTGGAAACGACCCATTCAGTAGCTCAACAAATGACATACAGGGTGTTTCATAACGAGCATTTCCAAAAAGTCAATTTGAGAAGAGATGGGTCTATAACATATGTACTATATATGAGCCTGTTTTATGCTAGACAAACACATTTTGATCAACTAAACATGCTACAATTCAAGAAAGTACAAATGGCATCCCTTTGACCTTTATTTATTACAGTCCGAGAAGATCTTTCCTGACGAAAACCCCACATTATGAAACACCTTGTACGTTTATTTATAAGTATAAGTATACGTTATAAGTTGTACTTTATGTATGTGCGAAATCACTCTATTGTCTTGTCGATTTAGATAATGAGGTATTTCTTAATCCTCAACATGTATATAGGTTTTATTTGTTAAGTATTCCATCATCTCCATGTATTGCAATGGCTTTAGTATCAATGAAATGACACATGGTCTTGTAGGTTTGAATTGTAAAGTATTCCATCATCTCCAACATGTATTGCAATGACTTAAGTATGAATGAAATGACACGTGGTCTTGCATGTTTGAATTGTAAAGTATTCCATCATCTCCAACATGTTTTACAATGACTCTAGTATCAATGAAATGACACATCGTCTTGTAGGTTTGAATTGTAAAGTATTCCATCATCTCCAACATGTATTGCAATGACTTAAGTATGAAATGCCACGTGGTTTTGTAGGTTTGACTTGCGAAGTATTACTCAATCTTCAGCATGTATATCAATGGCTTTAGTATGAATATCCTTATTCTTTAAATTGATGCATATATTAATTCCATGTGTGTATTTTCCAATCTGCTTTAATACCTAGAAGATCATGAATCTTAGCTAAATTCTAGGGTGTAGATGGAGTCAATGGGGAGTCTGGCAAAAGTTTCCATGTACTAAATCATGTGATGGAGGCGTCATTCGTCAGACTAGAAATAGACAGAAGATATACGATAGTTTTGGAATTTCTATGGAATGTTTTGGCAATTCGTCTGAATCCTTCGAAGGTGTATGTAACACAATGGGATGTGTAGGTAAGTCAATAAATCTTGAGACTCTGTGTGTTACTTTTAAGTCTTGATGCCATTCTGCATCACGGGTGAGAGCTACGGGGCAGCTATACTCGTATACTAGTATGTCCTACTGCATTTGCTGATTTTACAAGCATTCTATCATTTTAACAAGACATTAAAATAAAACTTTCTTTGTATAGGTTACAAAAATGACGTTTGTAGATTAAGAGGCATTATTCTTAAAAAGTATAAATCCTTTGATTTTTAAAAAGTACTTAGGCAAATGCAAATTAGATTAAGCGAGTGTAAAGGAACAGCTCGCACCATTAGTATAACAAGGTTCTAAGTGGCTCAAACCATGTTTTGAGAAAAACAGGATTGAAGTTTGGGACTTTAATAACTTTTTTTCTATTTATTGTAGGTCATCAAGATTTTGGGAATTGATTAATGACATAAAACCCTGCCTTTTGGTGAATTTTTTTTAAAATTGACACTATACATCTGGTTTTTTCAGCAAAAATCAAAATGCATATAGAACCTTTTACTGACAAAAGCTAACCAAGTTCTTAATTGGTTGCATATAGAACTTATTTTGCCATTCATTCCATTGGGGGACAAGTATTTTGATCAGAATCAAAATTCAACAATGTCATTTTGATTTCATGTTGCCTAATTCATAACAAAATTATGAAAAAAGAAAAATACATATTTCTAAAAAATACAAAAATAACTAGTAAATACAGACATGTCATCATAAAATAAGCATCAATATCAAAATATTGCACAATTACACTGTATCATCAAACAAAACTCTGCAATTGCAGTATTGAAACTTACCATTACTTACCATTGAAACTTACCATGCATATATATGCAAATTAATATATTTCACTGTCATCAGAAAAATATCTGAATACATATCACATTCAGGTTTAATGTACAGGGTGGTCAAAACAGGACCGGGGAAAAGTTTAATAACTTGGTCAATCTTGCATATTTTGTCTTGAAGTTGAAAACCCAATAAATGAACTACATGATTCTGAAATTTCAAGGAAAATATACAAAATTGACAAAGTAATTCAACTCTTCTTTGGTCCGGTTTTTGACCACCTTGTATTTATAAATCCTAAACTGCTGGCAAATATAAAAATATACTTGAAATTATCCTTATCCCATACAAGGGTATCCTCCATACACCAATTAACTTTATGGCCTTAACCAATAGATCAGCAGTAATGACTCATGAAACACTTATAAGGTAGTGTAATAAAATACCATTGTAAAGTTAAAAAAACAAGCAAAGAGCATGGATATTATCTTTATCACCATATATATAAAGTTTGCTGGTCTATGCTTTTACTTCCTTGTGTTTCTTATGGTGTTTCTTTTAACGTTCACGTTTTGATTTCATACATTATGTGGTTCATAACTTTGGCACACACTTTCCATGTATATAATATATAAAGAATACACTATTATGGGCATTATCTTCACTACCACTTCATGGTTAACATTTACTTTTTACTTAATTTTCCTTATGTTTCATATGCTGTTTCTTTTGCTTTCTGAATTGATTTTTTACTGTATATTTACTATAAAAATACTCTTATGGACATTATCTTCACTATCACACTATCGCTTATGTTTGCTTGTCCATAATTTTACTTTCTAATGTTTCTTATGCTGCTTTCTCTTACTTTCTAGTTTTAATTCTAGTTTTTTTGGTAACATTCATAGGGAATAAATCATATCATTTCATGAAAACGGTGACCTTGTCCTACGGAAATTGAGATTATGTTCCACAGCAAGTTCGCACGGCGATACTGTATAGCACATGCTCTAGGGAATTGATTCTACTTTCCATAGACACCAAACACATCTTTGTCGATATAATAATGAAAAAGCCTTAGGTCCCAACCTCCTTTGTTTACATTTACAAAAACGTGAAAAATGACAAAAGTAAAAGTTGTTCTAAATTTTTTAATTTAAAACTCTTGAAACCGATTTCACTTGCCGTGACAGATACTTTAGTCTTTCACGTACCGAACATGTCAATTTGGTTCGTAATATCTCCAAATAAACAATTTCACCATTTTAAATATCTCGATGCTTGTCCACGTGTTCATTATTATTGGTTTTCTGTCACATGACCAAATGTTAAGTTATGATTGGTCAAGACCTGATGTTAATTAGAATCTTATAATACCAGCTATAACTGACATTGTCTATAGAACTTTTTCATTTAAATTTGATTGGATAAGAGTTAGAACCTTCTTATACGTAGTTTATTGTAAATTAAATGGACTTACACCCTTTTGATATTGAGAAAAGCATATTTAGAGTAAAGATGGAAGTTTGTTGTTGATTTCATTGGAAAGAGCATGCCCAAATTAGTCAGTATGCAAAGTTACAGCATTTTTCTCAAAATGTCACTTAGAACCTTATTATACTAATGGTGCGAGCTATTGTATTGCAAAATGTTGGACAGGTTTATTATCCCATCGAACGAAGTTCGGAGGGATATAGGGACGCCTCCGTCCGTCCGTCCGTCCGTCCGTCCGTCCATCCAGGCAATTACTCAAATATTGTTGGCCCGATTTTGTTCATATTTGGTACACATACACCCCATGGGTGTAGAAGTTCTGCTCGAAAACCGATTTCCAAAATGGCTGCTTATTTAAAAATTGCGGCCATTTTAGTGCCGATTTTACAATAATTTAGATGCAATATGTAAATAGCAATATGTTTTAAATGAAGAACATTATATAGGGCATTGATAAAGCTAGAAATGTAGATATTAAAGAAACACATGGCAGCCAAATAGACAAATGGTGGCCTTTTTTCGTTATTTTACGATTTTTGCTGTAAATCGAAAAGTAGTGGAGTGATTTTGTTCTTATTTGGTATATGAATATATGAAGCATGGCTCGCTGTCTAATGACACTCTTGGTAGAAGTCGGCCATTTTGAAAAATGGCCACCATTTTAACGTATTGTACTATTACTCAAGAAGTAATGGAGCGATTTTGTTCATATTTGGTACTATAAGCATGGCACACTGTCTAATGACACTTTTTGGCGGCCATTTTGAAAAATGGACATCATTTTAACGTTTTTTTTTTACTATAACTCGAAAAGTAGTGGA